TAAAGAGGCTCAACTTTGCACGAAAACATAGCAGAAAATGAATACGTTAGATTTTCTGCTTTTCTGTTTAAAGAAAAAAACAAGAGAAGAACGAATTCTATATTTTCATTAAATGTTCATCTTTTATATATGCAACAAATGTTGTGTGCGGAATAGAAGAATAGAGAAATAGCGACCGACCGGAATACATTTTGACATGCTCTCTAAGTAGTCATCGGAACTGCAATAAAGCCCAGTAGGTCACGCATAGCCTGTCTTAGCCTGTTCTGTCCTGGCAGGTTAGGACAGGTTTAGAGTAATCGATCAAGATGGACCAAAAACCTTGACAATTACATGGAAAAGTCAACAGAAGTTTAAATAACACTAGACGAAAAAAGAGCAATTACAGTTGCGTGCGCCAGGTATTGTTCATTTGACTTGCGATAATTTAACAGCATTGAAGGAAAAGGATTTCAATTGTTGTGTCAAAGCCTGATTGACGTCGGCTATCGATTCGGCATTGCCAAAAAGGGCATTCCTTCAGCACAATCCCCACTACCGGATCCAACTAATGTTTCTCGAACAGTTCGTCAATTAGCCACTGAATATCGAACGAAAATGAAGAATATGTTATTTGAAGATTTGAAAACTGTGAAAATGATTGGCGTGTTAACAGATTATTGGAAAAATTAGGGTACTTCAGAAAGCTATCTAACAGTCAACATCCATTATACAAAAGACAGAAGAACAGTCACATTCATGTTGAAAACGTTGTTATTTACACAATCAAAAACGGGCGATAATACCCGAAAAGCTATCCTTTCAATGTTATTGAGCTATGATATCGATCCAGATTGTGTACATAACAGATAATGGTTCAAATTGAGTGTGCGGTTTAAGTAAGTGATATTACTTGTCTGAAATCATTTGTCATTTGTCTAAAAAGACTTTTTCCGTAGAAGGAGAAGTTCATATTCGATATATTTGTCACCGCCTCAATTTGACTGTACAACACAGTATCAATGCATGTTCGGCAGTAGAAACGTTAATTAGAGCGTGTCGTTAATTGTGTACTCATTTCAAACAATGTGAAATGAACCAATCGTTATCAGCAATTCTCAAAACGGATTGTGAGACACGATGGAATTTCAGTTATAACATGTTGAATTCGATATCGGAAAACTTCGAAAAATGTGAAAATCTATTGATTGAGCGAGATGAAACAAACTATCTTGACAAAATCGAAAATAAACTCGTTCCGGACTTGGCTAAATTTTTATCAAAACGTCAAAGTCGCGAGCGAAATTATCTGTCGATTCATCGCCTACTCTGCATTTGGTGTTATCCTGGTTCAACGAATTGAAAGCATATTGTGAAGACAAGGAGTTATAGTTAGTTACTGCAACTCTGACGGTTTCGCAGTCAAAAACAAAACTGCTCTGAGTAAGATTTAGACTGTTCCTCCGCCTTTGGTAACGAAGTATCAATATTTTCGAGAGGTGTTTCGAATAATTAGCATTTAGTGGAGAGGCAATGTCATGATTCGGTTCTGATCACAACATTATCAAAAGAAAACTAAGGAGGAAAAAGCCTTTTTATTGATCCATCTTCTTAATGCTTTTGTTAATTTCTGTAAGAAGAAAAAGTAATAGAAAATTACTACGGTGCACTCCGAATAATATGAAAGTTCTCGACCGGTACGTCAACAGCATCGTCTCGAATGTTCATACCACCCTTCACACTGGTCTAACGATCATTTAGTTCGATAGCAATTTTGGCATCGGTATTAAAGCATGGATAATCCTCTTGAGCCATTTGTTTTTGTTTCGAAGACGACAAGAAATTACGTAGGACTCTCGATCTTCGCAATTTTAAAAGAAATTTTACGAGACAATTAACCAACATATGGACATGACAAAAAATAAATATATCTGAAAATGTTTTTATTAGATTCTACATCCAAAATTATGGTTATGACTTTAAGGAAACCAGTTTTGAAAACTTTTCTGAGGCGTTATTATCAATGCTTAGTTTCTGCAAAAATGTTATTTTTCATTTTTTCATTTTTTTAAACTTAATATTTGATGTAACTTTTCAAATGAATCAACTACTAGTGGTGAAGTAATGATTTTTTACATAATTCAGTTGAAAATATCATTGATGAAGAAGAGACTACATTCCTTAAATAAAAAAAAGCTATTTTGTACAGAATTTGATGATAAAAAAGTCTTTTAAAAAGGATTAACTCCACGGATCTATGAAACATGAGAAAAATAACAAATATAAAGTGTAATATTCTTTTTGACGTCTTATATTTAAAGCTACTAAGTTTATTTAAATCATTACTCCTCTTTTTATTTAATAAAGAAATAAACTCTAAATATATGTCACTGCACGTTGAAATATTCGGTAAAAGAGAAATGAACAGAGATTTTGATTGATGTGCAATATCCTGTAAAAATAGCGCCACTGAATCTCTATTGACACTTTGATGTTGATTATGACACAAGATGCTGTTTCTATACTCTCTTGCTCCTCAATCTATTGTTGGAGGCATTATTTTGATGATTCATTACAGTTTCTTTACTTCTATTGGCCTCGCCGATGATTGTGAATGTCATCATTTATTTCATATAATGCTTGCTTGCAGTCACGAGAATATAAGTGAAGAAAATACAGACACAAATATAAAATGGATATAAACACTAAAAATACTATTCAATAAAGGAATAAATGTGTTTTGATCACCAAAAAAGTAACTTTTGATCACCAAATTTATTAGCAGTGAAATGATCACCGAAAAATAAGAGTTTTGATCACCAAATCAATTAAAGAAGTTTTAATTAAAGAAAATATATTCAAGAAGAATGTATAGCAATTTAATAGAAAGAAAATTAATTGCAAATTAATTAGTGGACAGACAAGAAAAAGAATATAAAGAGAATATATACAAGAAGTATGAACAGAAATATGAAAGATATATGAAATATGTCAACAGTTGACGGTTTTCAAAATTGTATTGTCAACGGTCACGTTTTTTAAAATTTCATTGGTTTTGTCAACTCACAAGAGCTATAAATACCTGCCATATACTATAGACGATACCATTCCATCACCCAAAAAAGGTTCGTACAGCTTTAGCTTTGTTGCTGTAAAGTTAGTATTTTTGTTGTACATTTCTTCTTTAATTTAAATTTTCGGTAATTGGTTTGGTGATTAGTTTTTTTCTACTTTGTTCATATTTCTGTTCATACTTCTTCCTGTATATATTCTCTTTATATTCTTTTTCTTGTCTGTCCACTAATTAATTTGCAATTAATTTTCTTTCTATTAAATTGCTGTATATTCTTCTTGAAAATATTTTCTTTAATTAAAACCTCTTTAATTGATTTGGTGATCAAAACTCTTATTTTTTGGTGATCATTTCACTGCTAGTAAATTTGGTGATCAAAAGTCACTTTTGGTGATCAAAAAACTTGATACCCTTCAATAAATATGATATAGAAGCATTCGTTCAACATGATAAAAATATACGAATAGTTTTTAGTTAACTTTTCATTTTGGAATTATTACAAAACAATCGGCAGCAGTATTTTGAAATACATAGCAGTAGGTTGAAAACTGTTTATCGAACTTTTAGAAGTCTGATTAAGATAAGTTCGAAGATTTAGATTTTCTTTTTTGTTTACTCCATGCTAATCTAGCACAGAAAAACTTATTTCTATTTCGTGCATAAGATCTCTGCATGAAGACATCTTATGATGTACGATAGGAAAAGGTCTTTGTGATCGAAGTAGAAGGTCAATCTCAAGAAAGAAAAATGATTTTATTTTCATTCTTAAGAGAAAAGAAGCATCTTGAAAACAGTCGAAGAGTTATAAGTACTTGATCACAATAATTTGAAATTTTTATATGTGTTTGTCGAGCAACATATTCTTTATGACCTTTACGCAAACTAATAATGTTGTTGCTCAAATTTAATTCAGACAAATATTTTATTTTTGCTTTTCCTTTTTATCACTAGTCAACGATCAGCTCGGTTTGAAGAGCTGAATCAGCTATGCAGTTTTATCAGGCTTGAATCCGAGTCTTCTGCTTTGCCTCTTACAGATTCACAACTGAATACCTTTAACAGAGAGAGCTTTCAGGAATGATTCAAGTAACCACATGATGATGAGGACTTAGGGAGTGCGCTTAATAGTAATATCTTCCTATCCATAACAACACTTCTTAAAGAATTAGAATTCTACTATTCGAAATTTTTCTCACAGTTTAGAAATCATTACTATCTAATAACTAATCCATAGCTGAAAAATCTAACAGACATTAGCTCTGTATTTTTGTCAATTGTCTTTTTCAGAAAATTCAGTCCTGATTCCGTTACCAGATTCAGAGCTGTTCAGAATTTTCATTGCTGAATCAGAAGATACATGTTAATGAAGTTTTATTCAGCCCTGATAGAACTGCAAAACTGATTCAGCTTTTCAGACCGAACTGATCGTCGACTAGTGATGTAGTATAATCATTATTGTTTTCAAAAGAAAACGTGCACACTTACATAGATGAAATACAATTTTTTTTTCTTCTTTCTTTACACTATATACAAAAGGTAAATCAAATGCAAATATGAAATCATGTTACGTCTCTCCTCGTTAAAGAGAACATCACGCATATGTAATGTGTAAGTAATGAAATTTCACTTTGGCCATCAGGTAGTTATTAATGCTCCAATAGACGATGTATTTCATAAATTAACATCAATTGATTATCTTGAGCGAGTTATTTATTTATCTGACTTAGCATCAGACTTTAAAGTTATTGCGAAGGAAAACGATTATGTCTTTAATTATCAATTTTGTGAAAATGTTTCGTCATTCTTCGGATTAATTAAAAACAAAATAACAATTATTGTCAAACAAACTGCTGATCCTCAAGCGAAAACATTATTATATGAAAGTAATGTTAACAATGGTATGGTGACAACTGTCAAACGACGATCGTTTACAGCGCTGAACGAACAGAAAACACAAGTGAGTGAAACTGTTGATGGTGAATGTTCTTTTATTTACCAACCATTAGTGAAAACGAAAGGACATCAAGCACATTGCGAACACATGGAAAAATATCATACATTATTCGACAGCATAACAGAAGAAAAGAACAATATATGAAATACTTTTGCTTTTGATAATAAATCGATATTGAGGAATTTTCTGGATTTCGAAATCTCTTACAGAAAAATAACATTGCCGCAATATTCGTCGTAATTAAAATAATTTCACAGTCATTGAATAGTTAGAGAAAAGTATTAAATCAGTTTAGTACAAGGTGATTCAAAGGCTTATCTTTAAATCAGCAAAAATCTTCTACTAGAGAAAAATTCACAAAAATATGACGCGGTCTGTTACTACTTAATTGATAACAGTTTTTTATTAGTTCTCTTATTTCTAAAATTCCTTTCATCAAACCTATCGCAGTGCCTACATGTTCCATCTAAATCAAACTTTCAGTAAATATTGATCAGGTCAAAGTATAGTGATGAAACTTTTCTCCCCATTCTACTTATCTTGTAGTGATATGTAGCCATACGATGATGACTCATACAATCGAGAGCCAGTTGGATGGATGGATATTCACCAATGCACTTGACGTTAAAAAAAGAGACTCAGTTTTGCGGAACTTTTTCTAGTACATATTATAGCTGATACCAAGACCTTTTAGAATATATATTCAGAGTTCTCTTACCAGAAGCCGTTACTGAGATATTAGTGTTTTTCAAAAAATCGATCTTACATAAGGAAACGAGATTAAGGAGCCATTTTCAGAACCTGTAGACCATTCCGTCAGTTTTTTTGGCTGGAAAATAATACGGAGATACAAAATTGGGACAAAAATCTGTATATTAATCAAGCACTTCAACAACTCTAAGAATTTTAATACTGTTGCCATGACAAACAGTTTTTTGAAAAACACTGATATCTCAGTAACGGCTTCAGGTAAGAGAACTCTGAATATACTCTAAAAGATCTTGATATCAGCTATAATATGTACCAGTTAAAATTCCACGAAAATCAGTCTCTTTTTTTAGGTGCATTGATTGTTCTGCCACTGCTTCATGTCAAGAGATCACCTACCATAGAATTAACTACTCTTTTTTTCATAGAATTTATTGATACGTGACATTTCGGCTTGATTAAGCCATCATTTATCAAAGTAAGATAGCAGTAGTGAATGATAGAGCCAAGATCAAAATCAATAAAACAGAATGAAGGAAGGACTAATATGACTACATCTGAAAATATCAGCGAAGAAAACACAGACATATCCAAAATTATGAAAATGAAATATCTCAGATATCGCATTATCCATGACTCCCATTATTTCATTAGTCAGTTTGACGCGTAAAACAAATGAAATGTGCCAAGATTTTACAACTATCGATGGCTGCCAAATTTTCTTTAGTCAATTTCATTCGTAAACAAAATGAAATATGCCAACATTTACAATTATCGATGACTCCCATAATTTCTTTAGATAGCTTGAAGCGTAGAGAAAATGAAGCATGCCGAGATTTAGCAGTATCCATGACTCCCATCATTTCAGTAGTAAGTTTGAAGCGTAACGATTTAGAACTATGGGTGACACTCATTGTGGGAGTCATTGATAGTTGTAAATCTTGGCATATTTCATTTTCTTTACGATGGAAACTCACTGAACAAATTATGAGGGTTATCGATAGTTGTAAATCTTGGCATACTTGATTTTCTTTACGCTTCGAACTCACTGGAGAAATTATGGGAGGGATGGATACTGCTAAAGCGTGGAATTTTCGATTTTCTTTACGAATGAAACTATTTCTTTGTTTTATATACTATCAGTTTGTTTCAGCGTTTTTAATTTTTAGGGTTCAGCAGACGAAAGAGGTATTTTCATTTGCTGAGAAGTATATGAGATTAAAATGATGACCTTCTTTTTTCCAAATGATTTACATGATTCAGTTTTCATTTGTTTCATGAAATGGCCCAAACAACTGTGGATAATTGTGCGCTCCAAATCATCCCGGCTTGCTGTTGAATTAATGATTCTCCAACATCAAGCAAACTTCTTAAAACATATTAAACGTAGTGAAGGTTGTGTTGTCATTTCTTGTAGAAAACCAGGTACCGCAGCTCCTGATTGAATATTAATTTTTGTTCTCTATACATTTTTTCTAGACTTTCTTTTTCATTTGGATCGTCACATAACACTACATTGACTTCGCTACTAATTTTTTGAATTATGGCTGCTGTTGTACCATATGATGTTCTATTACCAGCTGCTTTTTGTTTCTCTGTTAATTTTTTTAATTGCTCAAGGTATAATCCACCTGCTGATATTCCCAGTTCACACTGTGTACGAAGATTTTTTCTTTCAATTTCTCTTATATAACGAGCTTGAATTTCTGATGTACTGTGTTTACAATTACCACTAAAATTTAATTTTAATGTACGGTCACATGATAGAGTAATTTTAAATGTCCATGGATACTGGGTGAATGTACAATAACCTCGAGCAGAAAAAATAACATCATTTAAGTTTTGTTTGTTGGATAGCTTTTCCTTATTCCATGTATGTCCTTTGTATGCAAATATACAATACCCGTGTACTTTGATCAGATAAAAACGGTTCATTATAAGTCCAATCTAAATGTCGCCAAGGTGAAGGTAGATTTTCTTTTTCAGCTTCTTTATCACTCATTTTTTTCTTTTTTACTAATAATATTAATTCCAGATGTTCCTCCGACATTAACCGGAACATCAATTCATAATGTCAAATTTAACTACAGGCGATTGATCGGGCCGGTCAAGCGGCACATCACAAAAGAGGTGTAACTATGAATATGTTTGGAAAGAACGAGACTGTATAAATCACTGCTTCTTTAGAAATTTATTTTTAAATAAGCTTTTAAATTTTAGTGAGTTAAAAATTCAGTTTTTTTCTGATAGAAATTGTAACCGTATGGTGTTGAAAAGATCAACTATTGACTGATTTATAATTTGACGGTAAAGTAGTAGAAATTAATTGACTGATTCTCTAAATTTTAGCTTGATTGTCTAAAATATTCTTTAGATCAAATGTTGTTTAGAATATTTTTCTCTTTTTTCATCTCGTGATTTTGATCTTGAAAGTATCTTCTACACTTTATTGAAAAGCACAGAAAGTTTATTAATTAGTTTTATAGTTTATTGATAGATTTTGAGTAAACCGTAACTCTGATGAAAAAGAAATTTAAAAATATTTTAGGTTACTAATAAATTATTGAACAAAATTAGGGTATTTTTTGTTTAGTAAACGGAACGTTCAATTTTTCTCTGCATTGATCCTATGTACTACTAAAATATTGATTATATTTGCAATTTTTTCCTCGTAAAATTTATCGAATTAGGTGTATGTATAATGTTAGTTGTGACAGAGGCTGCAGCAGATGAAGTGGAATTATTTGGATCAATAACAGTTTTATTTTCCAACATAATTGTTTGGTTATTGTTATTATCTTGGTTGTTCATAGATTTAGCAGAATTAATCGATTGATTTTGATCTTCTTTAATAAGACTGTTTGATTTCTCATAATCCATCGGTTCTGATGACTCCATTATTCTTTTACAATGATATGTTCCATCATGACGCTCTTTACAGTCATAATGCACTCGTATATTACAATTATCAGTTTTACATACATAATAAGGAGGATTCTTAAGTATAATTGGCCGTTTGCATAAACATCGAAGATAAATAGTATAAAAAATACCTAAAAATTCAAATATTCCGATAATCAATCTGATAACTCACTATCAATAAGCAGAGTAAAGCTTTTTTAAAATTGAAATAATGAAGGATAAAATATAGTTAGAAAATACTTACGTTTACATAAAGGAACATTGACTGTATCAGAAACTACATCGAACAGCAACCGATCAATTATTAATTTATTGAAAGAATTATCAAAATAATCTGTCAATTGTTGAATATTAAACTTAATATTTGCAATATCAGTTTTATTTTTATTTTTATCAGCATATAATTTTATTACTAGTACTGCATAGACGAGAACAAAATAAATATCTGTTTTTTTGTCAATTGGACATTGTTTGACTGGTAGTAATTCTACACGATAATATGTATAACAGGTAAAATTAACCGCTCTAGATAACATGCATATTAATCGTCGGCTAAAACCAGTGAAATGTCGATCAAATACTGTAAAATGGCGAGCTGATTTATAATTCACAAGAGTTAACCAATGTTGACCATCAAATAAGATGATGATTATCAGTTTATGCAGACCAGCTGATAATGGTTGTAATATTGTAGAACGAATATTTTGTGAATCACTAAATAGACAATGAATATTAATTAAATTTGATGCTTTTTTAATTAATTTGAGTTTTTTTCTTCAATATACTTAATAGAATTATCAGAAGGTGGATTATATATAGGTTCAATCAATTCAATATATTTCTCTATGTCAATTTCACCTTGGCAAATACCGACATTGTCTAAAAGTATAAAAATATCTCAGCAAAGTGAAGAAACAGTCACCTACTCGATCTCACCATATCCATTGTCCTCTCCATCATCTTGAGCTTTTTCTGGTGAATCAATATACTGAATATCATCGAATACATTATCTGAATCATTTAAATTCTCCGTAAATTCAAGCAAAATCCGATTATCAATATTATTTATTGCTGATGTTGTTAATTCATTTACAGTTTCCCACTGTTTCACCCCCTCGCAGCTAAATTTTTGATGATTGTGAATCGTGTATTTGCTTATCACAATAAATACACGCTGATACAGTGTCATCAAATGGTAAATTATAATCACATATTAGCTCAATACGAAATTCAAAACAGTGATTCAATTTATCGTCATCAGCTGGATGGACTTTATAATTCAGCGTGTCTCGTCTGTTTAGCAGCAACAAATTTACATAATTTCTTAATAAACCTAAATCAAATTCAATATACTGAGGTTAATTATATAATAAATCTGTTTGAGAATGACAGCTGATATACCAAGCATAAGCGAAACATACGAATAAATTCTCGTTTTCATATGATGATAATACGGTTGTTGGAGTTTTTATTATTCTAACATTAATAAATTCAATAGACGTACGTTCAAGTAGTTGACATAATCGACAATGGAGAAGACGATTAGTATATATACAGGTTTTTGATTCATAAACTATTAATCCTTCTTCTTTGTAAGTAACACATAGCCAAGTATAACCATCGAATACTATTCCAACAAGAATATCATCAGTTGTCTTGCTCTGTTTCATTAATGAGAATAATGTCATCTTTTTATTGTATAATTCAGGTATAATAATGATATATACATTAAGAATCACAAATAAATCGGTTATCTTAACAACAATCGGCTCATTATTTACATGACTGAAATGAAAAAGTAGGTCGAAATGAAATTTCTGGAAAGGATCCTCAGGTTCATATTTGAATCTTTTGGCAGTTTTCGAAAGGAATCAGGTTCGTTATTTTCTGAATATTTGGATATTTATAGGACGTGAGAATAATGAGAATAATATCATCTTCGACTAGCTACTAAAGCATTAATTCTCGAATTACAACATGAAAAATCATCATCATCAACAAGGAATAACATGTCGCAAGAACGCATTGTTGAACTTAGATACAATATTCTTAGTCCATATACAGCTTTTGTTGGTATTGAAAAACGTATTAATGCAAGCAATGCTGATATGGTCTTGCGTGAAGTACCTATTCAAATATCTGCTGACGACGAACACTTGCTAGATCAACAATTATGTTACTCTAAAATGAGTGATGATAAGGAGAAATATCAGAAAGTTCAATGTCAGTATCAAGAGACTCAATGTCATTATGAAGAGGCTGAACATCGTTATAAAGTGACTCAAAATCATTCTGAAGAGGCTCAACGTCATTATAAAGGGGCTCGACATCGTTCTGAAGACGCTGAACATCGTTATAATGAGGCTCGATATCGTTATAAAGAGGCTCGACATCGTTGTGAAGAGACTCAACATCGTTGTGAAGAGGCTCAACATTGTCATGAAGCGACTCGACATCGTTGTGAAGAGGCTAGACATCATTATGAAACTCACAGCAGCAGCGATAATGACAATCAAAATATTGTTCGTCAATTAATCAAAAAACAAAAATTCGACGGTTTATGAGATATGGATTCGAAAAGTATCGGACAGTTGATCGGAAAGCCTCTGGCAGATTTTCAACCGTGGTCAGACAATAAAGTGCTTACATCGGCTATTATTATCGTCGTGCTCGAAACACGCTTTGTTTCATTATCTTCTATGTGGTATGGTATTGTACAAAAAGCTCGTAAATATCTGAATGACATACTCAATGAAAACAACAAGAAACTTGACACTTGAAGATATTAAAAAACAACTATGAAAATCTTCTAATGATCATATAATACTTTTGTCAATTAACTGACTTGAATAAGTAATCTTGATAATTCTTAAAGATTAAGAATTTTCAATTCATTGAATAGACTAAATATTTCTACTTAGATAGATGAAATATTCACAAAAAATCAATAATGTCATCTTTCCATCATGTTTTAGTCGCCAAACATTTTGAACAATTGCATTGAATTTCAAATAGAACTTATAGACGTTTAACCACAGATCAGCTTGGTTTTTTTTCGTGAGGATTGATGGAAACAATAAGCGCCAATGGATCTGTTAATTATAAAAGATTATAGCTATCACTTACAAAGACCGACGTTTTTAAATAAATTAATAGTATCTTACGGCTTCGTCGTTTATTTTGTTAGAATAAAGAAACCAATGAAAATAACAAACCATCTTTTCTCTTATCAATGAAGTATACGTGTCATGCACAACTAGTACTTTGTGTTTCACTTATATTTTCTTTCTTTCAATGATGATATTGCATCAGTCATTCGACATTATTACGGGTATGAATCGATAAATACTGCAGGAATCCAAGATATTGAAAAATAAAATTCATGATGACTATGATGCTGATTCAATTGTTCATTTTCTAAATGATCGTTCTCGAATTTATCAAGATCTTCAACCATTAGCATCAGGTCCTGTTTTTGAACGAAATTTATTAAATAAACAAAATCTTGACTTTTCTTTACCACTGATTATGGAAATATCTGAAAAAGCTCAAAAAAGAGAAATTACCTTTGATCGTTTTGAGAAAGAAAAATTGACAATTAATAATAAACCTAAGAAGAATTAAAGCGGAAAAATAGCGAAAAGGAAAGGAAAAGCTAACCAAATTTCTTTAGAAAAGTTGTTTTTTGATTTTTTAATCTTTTGTGTGCTAAGAGAAGTACGAGAGATGAAATAAAGCGCGAGAAATAAGAAGAGAACGTTGCTTGAATAAACAATACGAAAAGAAATTGAAATTGAAAAAATATTGATTTTAGCTGATTTTCCCATAGAAAAGTCGAAAAAAATGACACATTTCTTTACAAAGCGCTGCAATGGGAAGAACTACGTTGTATCTCCTGAGAAGAATCTTTAAACAGAACAAAAAAGAACATTACCATAAAATAAAAATAAAAAACGTTAGGCTTAGAGAAAGGAGAGGAGAATATAAAATGAGAGCAATTTATATATAGGAAACTGTCTCAATAGGAGAAGACCATCTGATATCGGCTTTTTAGAAGCGAGGGAGTGGATCAGTTAAATCTATAAAAGTAAAAAAGGTAGAGGACGTAGTCTATTAGAAACGTTTACTGGTAACAATAAATTAAATAAAGGAAATCTTGACTTTTACCACTGATTATGGAGATATCTGAAAAAGCTCAAAAAAAGAGAAATTACCTTTAATCGTTTTGCCAAAGAAAAATTCGAAACTGATCAAATTAATCTTCCATTTTCTTCTGAACACGTTATTCTATTACATTTGAGAGGGTGAGGGTGAGTGTGAATATGAACAAAAATAAGTAATTCTAATAAGTAACTATTATTGCATATCTGAACATTTATCCGAAAGTATGATGAACCAGGACAGACAGGGTAAGAGGGAGTCAAGCAAACTACGACGCGTTTCGACCTTGCTTAACGGTCTCATCAGGTGGTTTCGTCTCGAAGACAATTATTCAAATGATCCGAAGAAGAATCACAAATAAATCGGTTATCTTAACAACAATCGGCTCATTATTTACATGACTGGAATGAAAAAGTAGGTCGAAATGAAATTTCTGGAAAGGATCCTCATGTTCATATTTGAATCTTTGAAAATGCAAAATTGTGCTGCGAGAGGAGTCACGCTCACCCTTCCAGAGAACAATCAACAAAAAGGTTTTTGGTCGTGATCTCACTCTCTCGTTTGATATTCCTAAACGCATCGCACTGTTTTGTGCCGACGATCGTCTTATTGTTCATGAATAGCATATTCAGCCTCGATTCAATTCCACATCCACAACAAACTTGATAGGATTCCGCCTCTTAGAGGGGAAAGGGCTCTGGGAAGTTCGGGTAATGAAGAAGAGGTTAACGAAGAAGATTTACTGATAATACATGCCCCACCGAAACCAATTAACAATGACTGGTCATTACAACGGGCCGTGGCTGCAAAATTTGAATTATTTGTGGATAAATCGTTAACAATTAGTAAATGGAATTGTGGTTTAGATAAAAGACTGAATACATGGCTCAATCCTCAACTACAGGATTGAGCCATCAGTCAGTATCTTAAAGAAAAATTTCTCTCTCGCAGCAGATTTTGTTTAGCTTCTCCAGAATCCACTAGACGCTGGTCTCGGCTTATTCACAGAGGCGCGGGACTGCGCTCATTTCTCCCTCGTTTCTAAAATGCCAATATCAGATGGTCTTCTCCTATTGAGACAGTTTCCTATATATAAATTGCCCTCATTTTATATTCTCCTCCTCTTTCTCTAAGCCTAACGTTTTTTATTTTTATTTTATGGTGATGTTCTTTTCTGTTCTGTTTAAAGATTCTTCTCAGGAGATACAACGTAGTTCTTCCCATTGCAGCGCTTTGTAAAGAAATGTGTCATTTTTTTCGACTTTTCTATGGGAAAATCAGCTAAAATCAATATTTTTTCAATTTCAATTTCTTTTCGTATTGTTTATTCAAGCAACGTTCTCTTCTTATTTCTCGCGCTTTATTTCATCTCTCGTACTTCTCTTAGCACACAAAAGATTAAAAAATCAAAAAAACAACTTCTTCATTCAACATTTTCTAGAGAAATTTGGTTAGCTTTTCCTTTCCTTTTCGCTATTTTTCCACTTTAAATCTTCTTCGGTTTATTATTAATTGTCAAACACATCACCCTCACCGACCTCGACCCTCACCCTCAATCTTTCTGTCCGACACCAAAGTGATGAGCTGAATTATTCGATCAACGATGTACTTATTCTCGATTCGACATCAACAACCAACTTCATCCCCATTCAATCTCCCAAACAAATTATCTTTTTTGAGACAATTTACCTTCCAAACAAATTATCCATTTTGAGACAATTAATTTAGATACAATTTATATCCATCTGATAAACGAATTGCTCGACAAGCAAATGATGAACTGATTCATTCGATTAACGATGTGTCTGTCTTAGCTCCGATATCAACAATAATTCTTAGTGACTGCACTGTCCCGGAAAAGCACGGTAAAAGTATGCTAATAGCACAGAAAAAGCGTGCCATTGGAAGTCCAAACTTCAATCTCCAATACGGGAGAAATAGCACACTTTTTCCGTGCTTTTGGCACGTTCGG